TCACGCCCAGCAAGCTCTTCGAAAAGCTGTGCATCAAGTGTCCGCAGTTCACGGGCGGCGATCAGCATGATGCCCACGAGCTGTTGCGCCAGCTGTTGGAAAGTGTGCGGAACGAGGACTTGAAGCGCTACCAGCGCGTCATACTGCAGAACCTCGGCTACAAGGACCAGGACATTAACAGTGTGTCGGAGGTGATGCGACAAAAATGCAAGATCTACGGCAACCAGGCCGGCGACCGCATCCTGCGCCCAGAGCAAGTGTTCCGCGGCTTCCTCGTGTCGACGCTGACGTGCCAGGACTGCCACAGCGTGTCCTCGCGGCACGAGTACTTCCTGGACATGTCGCTGCCCGTGGCCGTGGAGAAGCCCCAGCCGCCGCAGCGCCGCAAGCCGAGCCCGGAGCTTTCGCTGGCGGCCAGCGGCTCCAGCGTCAGCTCCTCCGCCCAGAACCAGACCGCAGCCAGTCAGCCGGCGATCAACACCAAGTTCACGGAGGGCAGCGTCAACTTCACGGCCTCGTCATCGTCGTCCTTCTACCTGCACGCCGATCAGGAGGGTGCCCTGGGCCCCTCCAAGTCGCAGGTGAAGAAGGAGAAGGAGCGCGAGCGCAAGGCCAAGCGGGCGGCCAAGAACCAGCGCCACAAGCAGGCCCAGAAGCTGAGCCTCAAGCTGAACGGCAATGCTAGCGGCGGCGGAGGAAATGGCAGTGGCAATGGTTTCGTGAAGTCAGCGGAATCGCCGGACCCAGCGCTGGCCTCCTTGGGCGCGTCTGGCGACGCTGGCCAGGACAGCAATGGCCCCGAACAGCCCAAGGACCAGACCGCCGAGGACACCACTTCGTCCAGCGTGACCACCTCGGAGCATTCCGACGCCGATGTGGAGGACAATCTGGTGGAGGACACAGCTCCGCCCTCGGCCAACAATGCGTCGTCGAGCACCTCCGCATCCGCATCCTCGGCCGGTGGTTCGGCCAAGTTTTACACGGACAGCAACGGCAATGCCCAGCCGCTGAACGAGAAGCGCGACGACACGCCGGAGCACATGGACAAGGATTCGCTGGAGGAGGACGAGAATGGTGAGTGATGGAGCGGGCATCTTTCAGCTTACTACCCTTTCAATAAGTAATGATTGGTTGACTGGGTGTGTTTTGTTTTCATTCATTTGCCAAGTTTGTAATTTACAAAAATAACCTTTAAAGTGCATTCAAATGTAGAAATAATCTTGCTAAGTGACGCAACAAAAATTCAATTCAATTCAATAGCTATCAGCATCAGTCAATAAAGAGATTTATTTATTTAAATTCATTTAGCTAGGTTACCACTAACATTTCAATAACTATAAATTTACTAATTTTTATTGCCCAAAAATAACCTTCAAATGCATTCAAACTTACAAATAATCTTGCATTTCACAAAGCTATCACTATCAGTCAATAGATTTTTGTATTGTGAACTACTTGAATATAGATTAACAAGTATTCAATTTAATGCCTGTAGTTAGGGTTTGAATATTAGTTTAATCATACGTGTATATTGAGCAGGAAGTATTTTATTAACTATTTAACTACATGAGTATGGATTTAGAATTATTCAAAAGAATGCTTTTAGGCAAAGTGCGAATTAGTATAAGTTTATTTATGTAGTATTTGTTTATTTCGACCTAAATGGCAAGCCAATAATTAGGTCAGTATTCTGCATTAATGCATATTTATTTGAGTATCAGTCAATCAAAAGATTTCCGTACATATTGTGAAGTATTTGTATATAGATTTACAATGATTTATATTATTGCTTGTAGTTAGGTTCAGACTGAATGAAGTTGGTGATGATTCTGACTAATCCATTTTCTCTTCGATCGCGACCCATTCCAGACTCGGGTATCGCCACTAGTCCGGCACCCACCGCCAGCAACAGCAGCACGAGCACCAATGCCACTAACGACACCAACGACACCAACTCCACGGGCAACAACAATGCGGGTTCCAGATCCGGATCTTCGGGCTCATCGGGCGCCCTGGAGGAGGCCTCTGCGCCCGCGAGCCTGGTCAGTGCAGGGCTCTCCGAGAAGGGGGCATCCCTGATCCGCCAGATATCGGTGGGAGGTGGCGAGCAGCACGGCGCACTCAATGGCGCGGCAGGGGAGGCAACCGCGCAGCCGGATGTTACCGCCAGCCAGACACAGAATCAGCCACAAAGCCAGATCCAGGTCCAGAGCCAGAGCCAAACCCAAACCCAAACCGAAGCTCAGGCTGTGGCCCAAGCCCAGGCACGTGCGAAGCGGGTGCGCACGCAGAGCTACTCGGACTGGAGCACCACGATAGCACCGCGCTACCAGTGCGAGGATGGTGAGTGCTCCGTGCAGTCCTGCATGAACAACTTCACGGCCGTGGAGCTGATGACGGGCCAAAACAAGGTGGGCTGCGACAGCTGCACGCAGCGGATCAACGGCAGCGATCCGAAGGCCAAGTCGGTGAACACCAATGCCACCAAGCAACTGCTCGTGTCCAGTCCGCCGGCGGTGCTCATTCTGCATCTGAAGCGATTCCAGCTGGGCCCGCGCTGCATCTTCCGCAAGCTGACGCGCCCGGTGAGCTATCCCAATCTGCTGGACATCGCCGCCTTCTGCGGCTCCAAGGTGAAGAACCTGCCGAACATCGATCGCAAGCAGAAGAAGCTGCTGTACGCTCTGTACGGCGTGGTGGAGCACTCCGGCGGCATGTACGGCGGCCACTACACGGCGTACGTGAAGGTGCGGCCCAAGGTGACACCGGAGGACAAGCGCTGGAAGTTCCTGCCGCACGGCAGCAAGGCGGAGCTTGACCAGGACGATGACCAGCTCAAGAAACTGGAGGAGCTGCTGGCCAAGGAGAAGGCGCGCGAGATGCATCTGCATGCGATGGACGACAGCGACGACTTCACCAACTCCAGCAGTAACTCATCGACCTCCGACGAGGGCAACGCCCCGGCCACGCCCCTCGAGGAGCAGCCGCAGCAGCAGCAAACGCCACAGGAGGAGGCCGCCCACGTGCAGGCGCCGCCGGGCAAATGGTATTACGTGTCCGACTCCCGCGTCCAGGAGGTCAGCGAGGACACGGCGCTGAAGGCCCAGGCGTATCTGCTTTTCTACGAGCGCATCTACTAGACCCTCGATGATAAGATCCTTGGAGAATGAGTATAAGGATGAGGATTAGGATGAGGACGAGTGATGAGTGATGAGTAGGAACATAGGAACATGTCGCGGGAGTCTAACCGGAAGGGGAGTCTGACAGATGGTTTTATTCCATCAACTAGCTTAGGACCATGCTATACATATACATTTATTAATTACAATTTTTTTTTTGCTGGGTTCGTTGTTAGTTTCGCTCCCCTTCCCCAAAAGTCCAACTTTGATTTATTAATAATTTTTTGAAAACTGCATTTCCGGTTGGACTGATGGCGCAGAAAGAGACAGAGTGGCGGAGAAAGAGAAGGCAGCTACTCACACATGCCAAATGCATTTGGTTTTTCCCACTCAAAATTCATTGTACAATTTTGGTTAACTTTTTTGGGACAAGCTTTAGTTAGTTAAAGGAAACGGAGGAAGACACACGCGCACTCATTTTAAATTTCAGGAGTTTTGGATTTTGTTTAGTTTTAGATTTGTTTTTTTTTATTAGTAGTTTCCGAAAAGACACTAAAGGGAAATTAAAATGTTTATTGGTTGCAAGTTCTCTTGGTTCCAACATTGTCCAGAACTATGACAGAACGTTACTTAAACCACAAACACCATAAACTTAAGAAAAGCTCGGAAAACCCTAAAGAAGATCGCCGTAAACTGAATATTCAAACCAACAAAACATACGAAGGGAAAACGAGAAGGAATAAAGCCAAGAGAAAAACTATTTGCTGATGTTCATAAGTTATAACGAATACGAATGAAATAAATACAACCAATTGCTCGCTTCTGCCAATAAACTTAACTTTGCAGTAACTTAACTTATATACACCTACTATATATACACACTATATTACGGGCCCATATACACATACCGCCCACTTAGATATTTACAATTTCAGCCGAGAAGTAAATGTTTTGAACCTACGTAGCGAACGAAATGGTAACAAGAGATTTATACAATAGCGAAACATAAATATACAAGACAGTTTATCTTATGACCTAGGCTTAACTATCGATTAAATTATGATAACTAACCATGTATATTAAAGAGAGAAACGATTTGAGAATGCAAAAAGTTCGCTTGTGATTTATTCGATTTCCGACGAAGAGGATGTTTTTGAACAAGGTTAGGAATTGGCGGCACTGATCATGTAAAACACTTTAAAATCGGGTTAAATACCTGTTTGGTTAGCAAATATATAAAATAGACATTTGGGAAACTTTTACTTCATTTGAAATATTTGCAAGAGCTCAACTTGTTCAGAAAAATCCGGCACTATCCACGCATATTAACATAGGTTTCGTTTTAAAATTTAAGCTTGAGTAGTATATGTTGGTAAAGCTTAAATTTCTTTATAATTCAACAAATAAAAGTAAAAGCCTAAAGCAACTTTCGGGAAAAATACATTATGCATGTAAAAATCACAACAAAGCTTACATGAAACATCTACATGTAGCGTGCATGCCTAATGTATGAAGTAAAGTAAATGAATTTTTTACCCAATAAATATGATACGGTAAATCAACCTTTTCGGCTATAAATTAAAAACATATTTGTGATAAATACATTATTAATGAAAGTCTTTTAAGTAATAACAATAAAATGTACGATTCAAAATTGATTTTAAATATGTATTTTAAGTGGATTAAATTCAAATCCCAATATATTGAGGCAAGCTTTATAAAGTAGAACTGGAGTGATGATGTTTTCAGTCCCGTTCCCAGCTTATCAGTCGATCTGCGATCCCATCTGACCCCATCTCATCCTATTCCATTCCGGCGGCAGGTGACCAAGGTCACGTCGCACTAGACGCTCAAAGCTCTGTTTTCCGGCGGTTCCATCGATTCCCTCCAGTCGCACAATGAGAGCTCCATTGTTCGGATTGTGGTGCTGGCTGGGATTGGGATTGCTCCTAGCCTCTGATTCCGGGGTGGCTTCGGCCAAGCGGTTCTTGCGCTGCGAACTGGCCCGAAAACTGCTCGATCAGCATGGGTTTGAACGCAGTCTGCTCTCCAATTGTGAGTGGAAAAATTAAACAGTATAACAAAGATATTTGCCGATAAAATAGATATTTTCATAGTTTGTGTCTTTGTAATGAGTAAAAACTATAAAAACTTTCAGAAATTGATTGAACAAATATTTTATTTTTCAACTATTTATTAACACATTTAAAATTATTTTGGGGGCTATCATTAAAATATTAAAAAATTAAAAAATCAGTAACTAAATAGAGTTCGTTTGAGTTATATGATTTCTTGTTTCTCCATCTAAGGGATTTGTTTGCTGGAGCACGAGAGTGGATTAGAGACCAGCAGGATCATCACGAATCCGAATGGATCACGCAACTTCGGGTTGTTCCAGATCAACAGCAGGTTTTGTCTGGAGGGAAGACCTGGTGGCACCTGCAATGTGAAGTGCGAAGGTCAGAATAGTCCTCCAGGATGTCCATAATAATTTTGTAATTTTCTCTATTGTCGCACTCTATTTTTTAGATCTCCTCGATGAAAATCTTAGGGAATCGGCCGCTTGTGCCAAACGCATCCAGACATCCGATGGCTTTCGGCACTGGAATGGTTGGCAACGCTACTGCCGCAACACCCAAAATCTGCCTAATCTTAAGGTCATCTGCGGGATCTAGCAAACAATAAGTGATTTAATGGGGTCAACAGTAGTCATCTGTATTTGAATTGAGCATAATAAAAATAAAATAATCATCACTTTACAAAATTCCCAAAAAAAAATATATTGGGATTGATAATGACAAAGTTGTTGGGTTTCCGGTGTCGTTAGTTTGAGTATTAAGTTAAAAAAAATTTTAGAAAAAAATTATTTAAATCAATATTCATGTGGATCAGTATTCATATGCATATTTTAATACAAAATGTAACCGTTGTGTAGCTTGAAATACGATCAATTAAAGACTATGCAAATAGCTTTTACGATTTTGTTCTCTCTATATTATATTTTCCCACATAAATTAATTTTCAAGTTATAGCAAGCTTTTTGCTCTTCAGCTTTTTCGTAAAAACTTTGTTAGCTTTTCAGAGCAATTGAGTCACCTCGTGAAATTACCCCACTCCTCACTTTTTGTGTAGGGGGACTATACTATCTAGCTTACGTGGGGCTTTCGGACTCGTACAAACGTGGGATTTCATTTGGCGACATCGGCCGAACGATTCGGAGCGTTTTTTTCGTTTCAACTTGTTCAAAAAAGACTTGACCAAGAATTTAACAAAAAAATATGGAATATAAGAAAAGTCAAGAAAAGAAAATTCCAGTGCCAGAGATACACTCTTTTATTACAATATAGATATACTTTGCGAAGTATATGCCATGTAAATTACTGGCATGTGATATTGTGTTTGCCCCTGATTTCTGAACCCCTTATATAAGACCCTCCCGCCCCGTATAAAAATACATATATATATATATATATAAATGTGACTCATTTCCCTTCCCCGAACCGGTTCTCCGGAGGAACTGTGCGAGCTTTGGCTGATCAAGTGGTCTTGGGACTCAGTCGTGGAGCTGCGGTGTGATAAAATTGAAGGCAAAATAAAAACTCAAGTGTAATACTTATTTTTTGTTTTCGTGTTCAAGTCCAAGACCCCATGAAAACCTATTCTCCCATTTGATAAATAAGTGCACCGCCCTGAAATGATCTCTAATGAAATCTTTCCAAATCCCCCTATTATCTTAGAAAATTACGTGAATAAAAATGAAATATATGATATCGTCTATCTGTGAATTTAAATCTAGCTTCAACTTTTTTCCATATCACAAAATGCTTATAAAAAATGTGAACAAAATTTATGAGGGATTCTTATAAAAACATGAATTTTATAAAATCAGTGTGATGAAATAGAATTAGTATTCCAATTAAAATCTTGAGATTTTATGTGTAAAATAATTTTTAAAAATAATTTTGTAAGAACCATTAAACAGTTTATTAAAAAATATATTTCAAAAATTATTTTGCTTGCAAATAACAATAAATAGATTATTTCTATGAGATAAATCGGGTTTTCTAAGTCTGATCTTAAAAATATATTAATAATATAATATTCTATGTTGCGTAAAATTTGTGTTGATCAGCAGTGCAGTGAAATTATGAATAATAATTATTATTGTGATTTAACAACTAATCTTAATAAAAATGAATAAAAATATATATAAAATAAAAAGAATAAATATCGATTAGTGATCTTTACAAATGATGCGATCAACAAAGTGCAAGAGCGATTACTAGAACAGTGATTGTGGAGCATTTTGTGGATATCCATTTGAGATGAAAATGAATGACATGATCCTTGGTCCCTTATACCAAAATATCCAGCAAAGTGAATTCGGTTCTTTGTAGACTATGAACATTGTCTGGAGGCTTCCACATTTTATAATTTCCAGACCGTTCTGTATCAATTTCGATATTTTCATAAACTTGGGAAATGCATCATAAACTCGATTTCATTTACTTGGATCACTATTATATATTTATATTTATTATATTTTTTTTTTTGGTTTGGGGCTATTTCATCACATGGCGAAATTAGTGGAAAAAATTCTCTGCTCTTTGTTTGCCTTTTATTTTGTTTTGTTTTTTTGTTTTTAGCCGACAATCAGAGAACGACGCTAAACCCACGTAGTCGATAGCGAATTGTGCAAACAAAATCCAGTTTCGTTAGTGTTCGTGAGAAAGCTATCGGCAACAGGCGAGCTTCCTTATCGTAGATTTTAGGGAAATTTTATTAAAGATGGCGTCACAAATGGAAAATTAAGTAACTATTTTAAATAAATTTGCTAAGATTTCAACATTGAATAGGTCAGAAAATTAAATGTCCATTATAATAAAAATAAATCAAATGTCGATGATTATAATGTTTCCATTCAAGTTTAAAGTATTTTACTAATGATAAATATTTCAGGCTGAAGTGATTCTTTAAGCTGAGAGCATGTTTAAGTAATTTGTTCCTAAATATATATGGCTCATTTTTAAGGGCATAATAAGTATATTATTACATAAGTATAGAACATTTTCTTAAAATCGATGTTTTTTTTGTTCTGTGTCTGTATGGGGATTCGTATTGGCCCAGAGGAGTTCCACTGTACCCCAATGGCTCTCCGTTTGTCTGCGACGCATTTTGCAGTGTTCGAGTATTGGGGCGTTATTGCCGCTACCCTTGCCGCTGCCGCACAACCACCGCCCCTCCAGTTGGCCGCTTTACCGCTCTGCTGGCGCCGCAAAGTGCCGACGAACGCCGACGCCCGGAGCGTATAAAAGTGCCGGCCGGCGAGCGGTTGTCATCAGTTCCCAAGCTTTCAGCTTTGTAAAAGCGAATGCAACACCAAACAGGAAAACAGACAAGAAAAACGAAACAATCCAAGCCAAAACAATATTACACCATCGAAGGTAAATCGCCGAGAGAAAACAAGATGAGCGAGTTGGCCAAATTGCAGGAGCAGGATCGGGAGCAGATACCCCAGGAGCTGCTCGACTGCGACATTGAGTTCGACGAGGAGCTCCCTGCACCCAAGGAGCAGGAGGTAAGGTGTGCTCCGGCCAAGTCCTCGGACAAGCGCTACTCCAAGGCCCTCAAGAAGGTGACCAAGGTGCAGCGCATGCTGGAGCAGGCCATGATCCTGCTGGCCAAGGAGGAGGCCAGGTTGCAGGACAAGGAGCAGGTCTCCAATCCATCCAAGAAGCAGCAGCAGAAGCAAGCCAAGAAGGACGGCAAGAAGGCCAAGAAGCTGGCCAAGAAGCTGGCTAAGAAGCTGGCCAAGGAGACGGATAAGGCGGGTGAGAAGGAGTCCTCCGACAGCAGCTCCTCCAGCTCCTCCAGTTCCAGCTCCTCCAGCTCGAGTTCCAGTTCGTCGTCGGAGGAGGATGAGGCTGAGCTGGTCAACTTCTACGGCAACGGCTGGGGTCGCAATCCTTGGCGCCGCGGACCTCGTGGCCACCATGGCATTGGTCATAGGTATGGTCATGGTCATGGTCATGGTATTAGCCACAAGCATGGCCACAAGCATGGCCACAAGCATGGGCGCAAACATGGCCACAAACATGGTCATGGACCTGGTCATCATGGTCATCATGGTCGTCCTGGACATCACCATCACTTGGGACCCCACTTTGGGCCCCACTTTGGACCCCATGGTGGACCCCATTTTGGACACCATTTGGGACCCCATCCCTTTGACTGCGACAGGCGGTCCTGCCTGAGTCCTTGGCAGGATCAGAGGCAGTTTTTTCGGTGGATGGGCCTGCCGTGGGCCCTGGACAATGCCACGGCCTGCCGGAGGAGCCGATCGCTGCCTAGACCTGGGCACGACCATCGTGGAGATCTCGGATTCGGGTTCGGATTCGGACCGGGATACGGATACGGACATGGCCACCCGTGTCGACCACATGACCGTCGAGTAGAGAGATCCCTCTCCCGTTCTGGTTCCCATTCGAGGGGGGAGAGGAAGTGCATGGGCAAGAGATCCAAATCCAGTTCCAGCTCTAGCTCGAGCTCCAGCTCCAGTTCCGAGGATGAGAAGAAGGCCAAGAAGGGCAGGGGCAAGTGCAGGGGAAGGGGTAGGAGGCAGCGCTCCTCTTCCAGCTCCTCCTCGAGTTCCAGCTCCTCATCGAGTTCCAGCTCCAGTTCGGATAGTGAAGTGCAGATGAGGCACAGGCGCGGCCATCACGGGCATCATTTTGGACCTCCGCATGCCCATCACTTTGGGCCACATCCGGGACACCATGGACATCACTTTGGGCCTCATCCGGGACACCGTGGACACCACTTTGGGCCTCCCCATCACGGTCTGCATTTCGGACCGCATCGTGGACCCCATCAAGGAGCACCCTTCGGTAACCCTCTCTTCCACCATGGACCGACCACTGAAGGACCTCCGCCAGTCATTCCCTTTGGAGGACCACCAGCCGAGGGCCTAGATCGTCGCGGTCGATCCTTATCCCGACCCCGATCCCACTGCCATAGGGAGAATCAGGAGAGATCCCATTCCCGGGGTCAGGAAAATTGCGAAAAGGGCAAGGAGAACGCAGGCCAAGACAAGGAAAAGGAAAAGTGCAAGAAGGGCAAAAAGAAGCATGGAAAACATGGTCATGGAAAGCATCATGGACCCCATTGTGGTTAGGCTATCGCGACCAACATCAAAATTCCTTCAATGTATTTATATACCCCCAAAAAAGCTTTATTATTGTATACAAAAAAAACATTTAAAATTATATATAAATTTAAAAAAGTGAATAAAAACGAAAAACCAAAGAAAAATCTGTTGTATTTATTGTGGAGTGTTGAAACTCTCAACTATAATAAACTATATATCAATCCAATAAAAGGTTAATAAAATAAATTATGAAGTGTTGAAAACTCTCCTAAAAATATACATTTATTTATTGACTCGAATTTGATTGTAATTTGTTAAACATATAGTCCTCATTCCATACTGTTTTTGGGATTAAATGAATACATCAATCCAAAAAAAATTAAGTTAAACGAAAAACCAAAGAAAAATCAGTTGTATATATTTGGGAGTGTTGGAAAGTCTCACAAAAATGCACATATATTTGTTTATTTTCCACTTCAGCAATTTGTCACTTATTTATTAAAACCACTGTTTTTTGGATTACCAAGCTGATAAATTGGGCTCCCGCCTTTAATTACATTTCTTACATTACATTATTACATTACTAATTATATTTGACTACTCAGCTGAGTTAGCTATGGGAAATTATTAAATTGCATTATTAACGCATCGAAAATGATAGGGACATCAAAAACGCACACAAAGCGGGCAAATATGGCCAAAACAAATTTAATCCCATTTACAGTCATTAAAGTACTCAAAGGGAGTGAAAAAAACAATTTCAAATAAATAATGACCGTGCAAATAATTAGTTTTGTTAGTGGTGTCGTGTGGGAGGGTAATGAAGTATCGAACAGATAGTGGCGAGGTCATAAGGCTTAGGGCATGGCGAATCCAGATAAGAAGGGTATTCCTAGAGAGGTTCTCCCCACTCAAATGACGATTCAAAGACACCTTATCGACAAGGCCTTGTAAATGATAACCCCTATCTCTTCGTTTTCAGGTGTTGCACCTTTGTAAATATGATGATGGTGCTCAGCTGAAAGGTAATCCAATTAAAAGGACCCAAGCAACCACAGTAGCCTTTAATTAGCTGGACATCTTGTTGGTGGAATGGTTTCGGCATGTGAATGGATGTTTGGATGGACCTTCCCCTATTAGTTCGAGCTTTGAGAACACTTTGCAAGCAACTGTTCTCAGTTGCGCAGGAGAAGAGCTAAGCTGTTCCTTAGTTTGGGTATAAACGACAATCAAATCATCTTTATGAAACGCGGCAATATTAAACTAATGGTCACTGAATATCTAAAATACAAATAACACAAATTTACAAAAAAGTAAATAAACATAAACGCAAATAACCCATTTTGGAAATGGACTAGTAACTTCCTTGTGAATTTTTTTAATATGTAGGCTTAGAAAATCCTTCAGGGCCTTGTAATAAAGAATTCCTGCTCAAAAAAACCATAAACGTAAGCTTAGCAAATCTTTGAAGGGAGGGCTTATAATGCACAATACTATACCAAATACACTTCTTGTCTCCAGTGCAGGGTGCACACTCTCCAGCTTTCTCCTGCTGTTATTAGCTTAAGAGAGCGCTAAGAGAGTCAAATACTGGGTACACCCCCATGGGGAACACTTTGCCCCGACCAGTGCAAGTTTCCCCTAATTAATGGGCGGCGGGCGAATGGGAATTGCTTTTGTCTATAGCTTGTCTGGCAGATCGGTGGGAATGGGGCGTACAAGGGGTATACGCTTTGGGGGTACGCACCCGCTGAAGTTGTGGGCCAAAGTTGAAGAAACGCCGGGTAGTTGGCCTGCGTGTTTTAAGTGCTGTCTAATAATGAAACACCGCAAACTACGGGAGCGTTTGAGCTTAAGGCCCCCAACTCATGACCTTTTGAGCGGTGGACCAGGAAGTCGCCGTCCTGGAAAAAAATCACCTTTCCCTCGTCAAACGGCAGGCAACAGGTGATTGAAAAAACACAAACAAATCTGAGCGTGCATTTTCAAAGGAAAAGTTTATTCCATTTTTTGTGACAATGTGACAGGCGCAGCAACTTTGTTTTGCCCTTTTTGTTGTTCGTTGTTTTATGTTGTTTACAGACATTTCATAAAGTTGGTTTGTTTTTTGTCAGTCAATTTGAACAGTGAGAAAAAAACATAGTTTGAGTTCACGGCTAAGCTAATTTAAAAACAATGTTTAAAGTGTTAGAAATTGTGTTTTATAAGTTTGTTATTTATTTACATTTCAAAACATATACAATATTCAAGCTTGCATTGGAGACTAAATATAGAAATCTTTATTTTGGTATTACATAAATAGAAGAAGAGAATTTAACCTTCACTGCTCAACCTTCATTGTCACAAGCAGGACTTCACTCGGTTCAAAACTGAAAATTACTGCCAACGGAAAGCTATCTGTTTTTCAATTTTCCAAAAAGAAAGAGCGATTGAAGGGAAAAATAATAACAAACCCAAAAACTGAAAGTGTGCCATGAATGGGGGACGCTGCCGGAAGTGGATTTTTGAGCGGAAATAATTTTGCCACATGTTGGCAAAATAAAAACACGAAGAGGGAAGCTGTAACAGCGTAATGCTAAAACAAAGTCACGCGCAAAAAATCGGCGGGAAAAGCGGGGAAAATTGCGGCGGGAAACGGGGACGTGGCGCAAATCCTTCCGTTGTCGTCATTGTCGAAAGCTTAAAATTCAATCTTAGCAAAGGATCCACCACATCCTACTCGTTTCTTCGAACCCCACTTCCTGTTTCGCCCCATTTGAGATTTTACTTTCAAACGATACGTACATATATATAGTATATATATTTTTTAATAATTTTCTTCATTTCCCTTCAGACAGGTGGAAAAAACTTAGGGGCTTATTTCTGTGTGTGATAAACGCAGGGGGCAAATGGGAAGGTAAACTCGGCAGTCGAAACACTTTTTATTAAAATAAACTTACATTTTCTGTATTCCTTGTTTTGACTTGGGAGACTAGGGTTGCCTTCAAATGAGTACTCTAAAAATAGTAAAGTTAATAAAGCGCCTTAAGGTAAACAGCAGTATATTAAAAAGATTCCATTGCATTTCTGTAGTATTTATTCCTCATTTTCTGGGAATTTAATTGACCCTGAGTAGTGAGTGCAGGGAACTGCACAAAGCAATGGCATAGGTCGTCATAGAAAAACACAATAAATATATCACAATGCTCTGCAGATACCGTAGAATGCTGGAGCGATTTCGCCTTTGTTGGCCTGTTCTGCTTAATAAGCGACAGCCGAAAAGTATGCACCCCGTTGCAGTACTGAATGGAATTCCTGCTCTGTAATATCATGGCAAATAAGCTGAGATGACAGCAGTTCTCCTTGTTGCCCCCCAAACTGATATTTTTCTTTTTTCGGGACCTCCACTCTCGGCTAACTGGCAAACAATGGCCGCCGTAATACTACACAATAGATATTTGTCAGGGGGACAGGGCGTTGCTAGGTGCGAATGCAGATACACAGAAAGTTATACGAATGTTACGTGAGCAGAGTGCCAGAGCAGTGGAAAGTGTAACAATGGGCGGGTGGTGACCCCGACACTTTTCCCCGCCCCGCCCCGCCCTGCCAATGATAACCCTTAGCCCAGTTGCAACGCATTTCGTATGCAGCTCTTGTCCGGCAACGCAACCTTTACGGTTCTGGTTCTGGTTTTGTTTCTTCCGCCCCCTAATATTCCATGACCATGCTTTTTGGTTCCATTTCCACCAGCCACCAGGGCTAAACAAACAAGGGAAAAGATGAAGACGGAATAGTGGGAGCAAAATGTACGGATAAAAAGTGCAATTCGCAAGGACAACGTTGCGTATGCGCGATATTTAAGACAAATATTTGGACTTCAGTACACCCGTTGCTTTGTTGTGTTTAGTTAATTAGAATGTTGAGTAAGCAAGAACCATTGACAGCAATTAAAACTTGAAAATATGTTGAGAGATGAATTGATTAGATCTACAGGTAATATAAAACGAGTTAAAGAAAATATACAAAAAGCCAGGTCGATTTTGCTTGAGCCCTGATATGAAAATCATGTTGTTATTATCATTACAACTTCTAAAGTATACAACCACCCAAAACAAGATGCAAAGACACAAAGTGCAATTGCGAGGACAACGTTGCGTATGCGCGATATTTTTGGCGAATTATTTTGCTTCAGAATACGAGCTTATTTGTTTCTTTTTTTTTTTGAATCAGCTATAAATATGCGTAATATGAAAATCATAACATAACATCATTTTTAAAATATACTAATACCTATTAACAAAAACAATACACTCTTAAGGTACTATATAAAAGAAAACGATGCAATCGCAGGCAAAACAAAGTCTTTAGAATCTTATGGCGCCAATTAAAAATCTAAAGCAAGAAATTTTGAGAAGCAGCAACTAAAACCTTAAGCTTCAGGAGAGGCTTCTGAGTAGAGTATGGCAAACTATGGAGAAAAAATATTTATGCGCAGAAATGCCAATGCGAAAATGGCCATAAATATTTGGGTATTAAAAGCTTGGTAATTGGAAATGAAAGCGTCGCAAAATAAAAAATGCCGCCCGAAACGGCAATGAATTTAAATTGGTTGGTTGGCAAAATGTTGCAGACACTAAATTATACCAGAGCTATATGCAAATATAAGTGTTTCAGTTTATTGGGAATTGGATTGAATGGTTCCCCGGGCGAAAGGAGGAGAAATATTATTTTAAGCACTGTCAATAATTAATGGATATTCGAAAATGCAAGCCAAACTAGCTTAAAGGCATTTGTAAACACATTGCTGATGTATTTGGTGAGACGAGCTTAAATTTTAAAATTTCACTTTTTGTAGGGCAATTTTTATGGCAATTAATTTGTTGTGCTAAATCTGCATAGAAGATGTGACAAATTTTACGCTATAAAAGCCAATTATTTCATTTACTTAGTCCCTGCCCTCGGCTAGCATACCCACACCCACGCACACACACCCACATGCAAAATTAAATCAAAATCTTTATTAAAACATTTTATGCAAATGAATAAATAAGCAAGTGGCGGACAGGAAAAAAAGAGGCAGAGGCATTGAGAGCAAAACTGACTGACAGCCGTCAGAGACGTTTCAGACAGAGACGGAGATACTCATGGTGTGAGGGAGATGGCAACAGTTACACATTTACATAAATATTACAAGGCTATTACTTGCCGCCCATGTGCCACGCCCCAACGCCCTCTTCATAGGCAAATACGAGCGTGTGTGCATTACAATAATATGAAAATTATTTGTAATGTAATTTCAAGTTAATAAATGTTCATTTTCATATAAAGCGACAACTCATTTTACAATGCCAGCAGGTAAGTGTGTGAGTACACTGTGAGAAAAGGGGGTCTCTTTAAATTCTGGCTCATACTCACAGACTTACTTTTTAATATTTAATCATTAATTTGGATCACAGTTTTTTTTTGTTGGAATGCATATATTTCATAAAAATAAAAGAATATGTGAATGAATTGAATTTGTTGCAGTGCATAGCAGGTAGAATGGTAGCCGACAATGAGTAAAGTAACGGCAGGAGGAGTTGTGGATGGTGGAATAAAGGTGAAAGCCAAAAGCACGACAGGAAGTAAAGTTGTCGAAAGTGAATTTGCATAAACGTATGAAATTTTAATATTTACGACAAATTTTCAACAGCTTCTCCACACCCCGAAGAAATACCCAGCAGAATCTCGGCCGCACACACACACACTACCGCACCGTGCACTCAACTTTCTCCTACACTTTCACCGGTTTCCCTTTGAGCTGCATATTTTCGGGCGCGCACACACAAAAAGTTCTCCCAGCCTACGAAAATTCACTCAGTCAGTTCCTGTATGTAGATGTACACGTAGATGACAATGTTGCTTTCCGGCTGCGAAAGTGGGCGCTGAATCGAGGGGGAGTGGCAGGAGAAAGGGGCGGGGCGGGGCGGAGTTGGTGAAGAAAGGCACTCACCGAGTGTAAACTAAATTGAGTTAGCACTGAATTGGGCAATGAGCACGGAACTTGAGGAAGGGTCCTACACCGAGCGGATTCGCCTCAATTGCGGGTGTTGCAAAATTAAATCTGGGTCGCATTAATAGGGTGAATAAGTCGTAGTTTAACTGGAGTTACTCAGTGTGGTGGTTTCCTTCTGTTTAAATTATGCATTTTAAAAACAAAACTTTTCACAGGCAGTGTATCATAAATTTGCTTTTAATTTGTACTAATTAAATATGACATATTTTGTATAACCTCTGAATTTTGAAAATTAAGTTATTTTTTTAGTCTACAAAAATGATAATAAAGCACTCACAAACACAGTTAAAATCCTTGGATAAGGAAATATGCCTAGTATAGTATTTTGAGCCCCAAATCATCGCCAGAGTTCCATTTCCCACAGGGGATTATCGATTTGGGCAGTCCGATTTACCGAGGCGGAACTGTTCCAG